AGTATACTATATCACATCAGCATGTTGTTTCCATAATGTCTCCACCATAATGTCTCCACCATAATGTCTCCACCATAATGTCTCCACCATAATGTCTCCACCATAATGTCTCCACCATAATGTGTTGGTAATGTCTTTGATTTAGTTTAGTAATCGACGAGTTAAAGGGGATGCGGATATCTTTGACAGCTTCTTTGTCCCGCCACAAAAATTTCGTGACAATTACGAGAGTGAGATTCGAACCTGCGACCTGCAGTGTACTTCGCTAGTGTTTAACGAACGGTACGGTCCAGAAATGGTATCACCCACCATCCTGACGCCGTTGGACATGTTGAACTGGATTCAGGATTTGTCCATTGAAGATCTGGCGATTCAAAACCAGGTGACGACAAGTGACCTGCATTTGCCGGATGGGGACGGGGAGGAGGAGCCCAGCCGCACTGCTCGATCGTTGGTTTCGGATCGCACCCAGGGAACTCCCCGGCCGGAGCGTACTCCGCGCAGTTCTCGGAATCCGCGGGTCGAGCGTTCCAATCCGGACGAGGACAGCGCCCGTGCCATGGACTCCCGCGCAAAGCACGGCGACCGCACTAGCTCATTTGTGTGCATAAGCAACTGCCATTCTGACATGTACATCATGGCACACATGGTGGGTGCCCCGGGTGTCTCGTCTGCCCCGGGTGTCTCTGCACGGGGTATTCGCGACAGTGTGTTGAGCAAGACGGCGGCGACGGGCAGTATGGCGCGGCAAAGCACGGGCTTACAGGACGAGGCGGGTCGCCAAAAGTCAGTGCGAACACGGAGTAGTTTGGCTGGTGGTGAGCCTGCGGGTGTGTTAGAGAATCGGCGTCGTAACTACTGGTATCAAGACTCAAGTTACAGTTACAAGTTATACTTTGAAGGTGCACAGATCGTATGTGAGAGTAGTACTCGTCCTTCGTTGATGAGCCGTGCGGTGTTTCCGGGGACACAATCGTTTGTGTTGAAGCCTCGTGCGGAGACAGTGCCATGCACTCTAACGATGGAAGTTATACAGGGGTGTCAGTTACCAACACCCTATGGTGGTTTGTTGGATACGCGGGGGTTGGCGCCACAAACGTGGGAAGGTGTGAACCCGTTTGTGGAAGTGAAGGTCTGCGCTCGAGGTTCGGCAGTGCAGAGAGTACGCTCAAAAACGGTCGCCGGAAACGCTCTCAACCCGCGATTCGAACTCATGACTCTCTTTCAACTAACGGATGAGAACGCCGCAGTAGTCGTTTTCCATGTACTACATCAAACCGAAGGTGGCGCCTGTCTCCTCGCATGCAACGCTCTACGCGTCGCATGGCTCAATCCTGGCGTACGATGGGTTCCTCTCTTCGACACATTAAACAACGAACCACTGCGGTGTGCCGGCCTCTGGGTCAAAGTGCAAAAAGTTACCAAAACTACCGGACGCAAGACTCCTGCACCTCAACACCGTACACCCTCCCTCGTACACCGCAAACACCATAGACAAAAGTCCGCATCCAGAATCAGCAATTAGACCCACAATCACCTACTTAGTTAGTTAGTTATGCGACGTCCTAGTTAG